AAAGAGCACCTCAGATTCGCAGGGCCGTTGAGGGGCCGATGATCGAGGATGAGGGCCGAAAAAAGAGAGCAACATTCGAAGGGAGGGCCATTTTGGGGGAGGCCGAGCTTCCAGGAGGGCAGCTTTCGTTAATGCGTCCCCAGGGGATTAAAGGCTGCGTTGAGGTGTCAGGATCTCTCACTCTCTCGCTCTCTCCCTCTCTCTCTCTCTCTCTCTCGCTCTTTCTCTCTCTTTCTCTCAGATACCTTAACTCCCCTGGGAATACTCGATTGCTGGGCCCTTTCTTTCTTAGGGCCCATTTTGGGGCCAGTGCTTGGGGCCAAGTCAGTCAAATGTAGTATAAACTGACAGCTAGTAAAGGTCATACGCATAGTAAGGGAGCAGCGAGGAGGCCACTTCATTTTTAAGGAAGCTGGAAGACTTTTAGGGATAAAAATTGCGCATAGATCCTCTGGACAGTACGGGGAAGCTATGGATTTGCCTTCAGCGTTCCTTTAAACCCTTTAAAAACGCATTAAAGGGCCGGACAAGACAAGATTAGAGGGCTATAGATTTGGCTCTCTTTCTCTACCAACGGGGTTCTGTTGCGTTAGCGGTGGGGGGGAGATTGGCCTCCCCCCCGGTAACGAACCAGTACCCAAACAGGCAGAAAAACCGTACCTTTCTATCGTTGAGATGCCGTGTCCGTATCAGCCAACTCTGCGATCTGGCCCGCATCGGAATCTTCTCGATCACATCCTAAAAGAAAAAATTATGGTTTTTTTGGATACCGTAGCCCGTTTAAAGGGACCGGGAAGGTAGTTTTAAGTGTAAAACATCCCGGCTTTTCCGTGAAAAGATTCCGTACCCCCATTAAAGGCACCGGGAAGGCAGCATACCACTAGAACCCAACACCGATTAAAGGCACCTTGAAGGCAGCTCTCTTCCCAAAATCCATAGCGAAAATTTACGGGGTTTGGCTTCGTGGGTCCTTTAATCGAAGAAAAAAACCCGGTTTTCCCGTATGCCGCATTCTATTAAAGGACACGGGAAGGCAGCTTTGCGCCTAAAATCCACAGGAGATCGAATTTAATTCGGCTTCATAGCTTCCTTAATCATGGTTATGCAAATTTTCTGGATACTGTAGCAGAAATGCAAGATTTATCGTAAAAATGGTTTAAAGGGGCCGAGAAGTCAAAATTTTAACTCAATCCATAGGAATTCCAGTTATATTTGGCTTCACATTCCGCTTAAAAGTCTAAAAACTACGCAAAAAATACGTTATTATGAGCTACGAAATTTACTACGTACAAGATACTGTTTGTACAAGCTCCGCTCAGCCACCGACGATTTGTGCACCATTTTATAGGTCATTTTTAGTGGGCAGTTGATTTTTATAGTTTGTAGTTTTAGAAATTAGAATTTTATGGAATATAGAGTAATATTAGAGTGGGTGAGCGCGAGACACTGAAGAGAGGAGAAGCCATCAGATGGCGGAAGTCGCCCCATCAGCCCCCTTTTCAGGGCCTTGAAGAAGGCATTATTCTATGAGAACGACCTGTCAACCGTGAAATGAAGGGCAAGATGAAGGAGCAGGAGGAGAAGGAGGAGGAGAATAACGGGACCTATTCGAGCATGAGGTAAAGGGGAGAGGGTGGAGGGTAACTAGCAAAGATCATTGGGGGAAGCAGCTGCGATGGCAGGCAAGTAGAGATCCTTGGAGAGCGAGTGAGAGAGAGGAGGACAGAGAGAGAAAGAGAGAGAAAGATAGAGAGAGAGAGAAAAAGAGAAAAAGATGGAGAGAGAGAGAGAGCCATAAAGTGAAGGCGAGAACGATAGCAAGAGTTAGAGACATATAAAAAACTAGACATACAGAGAAACAGTAAAAGCGAGAGGCGCAAGGGAGAGAGAAAGAGAGCGAGAAAGAGAGGGCGAGAGACATATATAGCGAGAGTGCGGATGAGCGCGAGAGAACGAGCCAGAGGACGAGAGAGAGAGAGTGAGAGAGATAGAGAGAGCGTGAGAGCGAGAGAGCAAGACAGAGCGAGAGAGCGAGAGAGATAGAGAGAGAGAGAGAGAGAGAGAGAGAGAGAGAGAAGAGAGGGTGAGGGAGAGCGAGATAGCGAGAGTGAGAGATGACGGTACTTAGCAGACATCCTTTAGGAATGTGACATTCCTTGGCGTAGCAAACTGGTTTTTTAACAAACCACGCCCAGCTAAGCACTTGACAAGCTAGCAGAGACAATTAAGGAAAGCTCAGCGTCCTCAGCTGAAGGCAAGCTAGCGGAGATTCTTTAGGAATTCGGGCTTTTCCTTAGATAAACTGTATAACATACAGGTTGATGTGGCGGTCGTTCCATGGGTGGTCGTGTCTCGTTAATCTGTGTAAATGACGGGACTCTGAGGTGATATCCATCCTGTGGAGGGCATAGAAAATGGACAGCACGACGGCTATCGTCAGATAGAGATGAGCCGGATGACGTTTCCGCATCTTCTACACAACAGCATTACGGTAAATGGATTACGGTAATTCAGTTTTGGATATATTGACTTTATATTCTCTTTAAAAACCGCAAACACTATACATGATAAAAAAAAGCACGTCTCCTTTACTTTTAAAGGAATCGGGAAGTCAAAATCTATGGATTTCCTGACTTCAAAGTTCCTTTAAAACCAAATGACATATAGCCCTCTCATTAATGCATAGAATTAACCACGTTTTTCATATTTTAAAGGTACCGAGAAGTCAAAATTCCCATGGACTCTGACTTGAACGTCCCTTTAAAATCCATAAATTCATCTTGAAATTGAAATTAAAATTCAGTGGACCTTGTGAGGTATGTGATGTAAGGGTAGTGTGGCGTTGCATAAATCTCGCTCTCCGATCCGTCGAGCTCATTTTTGGGTCCATTTTGACGGCGTAATCGATTGGTATCGATAGGAGTGTAGCGGAATATTAGCCGAATAACGATTGGAAAGTTGTGTAGTGTAAAGTACAGTAGTCTAGGTGTAAATAGGAATCCTTGGAGTACGATAAAGTACGGGAGAAAATACTGTAGGTACGGTGCCGATAGGGGATCTTCGAAGCTGAGGGGTGATTAGCGGAAAAGGTTGAGCACGACTATGGGGTGGAAGCCGTGGGGAGAGCCAGTCATGTTGATAGATGTATCAGAGGAGAGAGAGCGAGAGAGAGGGAGAGAGAGAGAGAGAGAGAGAGAGAGAGAGAGAGAAGGGCGAGAGGGAGAGAACAGAGTCAGGTGGTGCTGTTGGTATCATCAATGGAGGATGGAGGGGGACACTTGTCCAATCCACAAAACCCACAACACACCCCGGAAATTGCGGGCCCCCAAAATGAGGGGCAATTCCGCAAAGGATCTCTGCTCGCTTGCCATAGAGGTGAAATTTACTCGAAAAATCCCTAAGGATCTTTGCTATCCAGCCATTTGTAGGTTTTTTAGCTTGAAAACTTACAATAAAATAGTTTTAAAGGACCAGTGAAGCCAACGTCCTGAAAATTGAAGTTTCAGCCTAAAAACTGCCTTCCAAGCACCTTTAAAACGATTTGAAAGGTACGATGAAGTGAAAACTATAATTCCCGCTCCACCAATCCCTTAAAAACACTTTCAATGGGCAGCGCAATGGATTTGGATTCGATTTATCCGGTCCCAAAAGGCAAAATTACAAAATCCAGACTTCAACGTTACCTAAAAAACATTTTAAAGGGCCGTTGAAGCCAAAATATTTAGAAAATTGCCTTCCAAGTCCCTTTAAAATCTCACAAACCTCTAGAATCGACACCTCTTCGCTCGTTTCGATCGTGTCCAGAGATATCAGATCCCGAGATCGCTTCTTTGCCAGGCCTCTCATCCTAAAAACCTCAAGCTCTAAAAATCGCCAAAAAAATTCCGTAAGACTCCAAAGTACGCGAGTACGTAGTTACGGAGCGCCGCGTAGTGTGCGGGGAATATCTGGTGCTCCCGCTCTCAGACTCTATATCCATTGTCCCCCACCCCAACAAATGATCCATGCATTCAGAATTGGGCCCTCACGTCTAGGGGAGTCGATGAATTTTCGGGGATTCCCCCCTCATGCTCCACGGCTCACAAATGGGGATTAGAGGATGGGGAATGGATATAGATATATAGACCACGAGATATTGTGCAAAAAGCAAAAAGTTTGGTTCGGGTGGGGGTTGAACCCGGAACCCTCTGCTTATCAATCTAGGGTCTTAGCCACTCGGCCAAAGGTGTATTAAGCCGCGATACAGCGCTATATACATAGTTCCTCCCCTGCCAGGCTTAGCTTTCAAAAAGCAAAAAATTTGCCGTCGCTCGGGATTGAAACCACTAGGGTTAACTTGGTAGGCCGAAGCACTAACCGCTAGGCCATGGCCAAAACGCGGTCAAAATGTATAAAATTGACGCTAAAAATGCTTATTACCGCCATTAAAAGTGCATACCAACCGAAGTACTTTGTGGAATTTTTCCGGAAAAACAGAAACCGCAAAAACGACTGGACCACCTGTTGCCCCCCGGGTTGCCAGGGCCAAAAAAGTTGGTTTTTGATGGGTTTTTGACAAGTGGGAGGACCGGTTTTAGCTTTCGGGTCGTGGCAGGCTAGCACAGAGCCTTGGGGAATTGAGCCGACGGGGCAGGAAAATTCTAAATTTGCATTTTTTCGACAACCGACGAATTTCTCTTCCAGTTTTTCACCTTCACGGTCCCTTTAAAGGGCTGGGCAAGGCATGTCTATTGATTTTTTGCCAGTTTTCCGAAGCGTTTTTCCGCTCCGCGACACGCCACGCGTACGCTCGGATTTCCATCGCGTAATCGAACCCTGACGCGGCTACGACACAATCGATAGAAAATCCATAACAAAAATTCGCCCTTCATGCCTTCACTGGTCCTTTAAAATCCCTCGAAAATTTCCGCCACACTCCGTTCCGCCGGGCTACAAACTCCGCGTTGCTACGGTAACCCCCCGTAGCGCCCTTCAGACTTGGAAATCATTTCCGCTCAAAAATGGCTAAAGACCTTGTTCACCTTCAACATTTCCTGGGCCAACGTCTCGAGGAGCGATGCGGACGCGAAATTGATTTTATTGTTAATCGGTGAGTGGGTGTGGTTGATTGGTAAGAGGGGAGCTTCACGCCAGCAGGGTCCGGGTTCGAATCCCGGACGCGGCAGAGTTTTTGCTTTTTGCTTCTAGTTTCCATCTTCTTTTTAATCATGGCATCATGGCCTATTGGTAAGCTGCTAGCTTCCCACCCGCAAGGCCCGGGTTCGAATCCCGGCCGCGGCAGGCTTTTTGCTTTTTGCCTCAAAATTTCATAGTTTCTATTTAATCAGTTTATAACAGAGATGTTCGGCTTTAAAAATATCACCATGGCCGATTGGTAAAAGGCTAGCTTGACATCCACAAGGTCCGGGTTCGAATCCCGGCCACGCCGGGGTTTTTGCTTTTTGCTTCAAAATTTCGTAGCCCCATTTTAGGCAATTGTGCCCGTTAAAAACTGATACTTCATGGCCTATACAGGGTGGCCCAAAAAAAAGACAACAGGTTTGGGCGCGTTTATCTCGAGAACCCAGACGAATCCATGGTGGGTTGATGGCTGAAAACCATTTTCTCGGCCTGGAAAAGAAATTAAACACAACTTGATTTTTTCGATTTTTGGCGACGTATCAATACAAATGACACCCGAAAACTGTGCGTTCGGGGAAGTTTAATTTGTATTTTTCTCAGCCGCCTGTGGCAGGGGATTTCTAATTTTTGCTGTGTAAAATCTTGTAGGCATTAGATAGATACATGCAAAATTTTGCAATTTTTGAAGGTCTGTTTGGCAAGTTATAGCGTGCTAAAATTTAATATGGAGAAATTTCGTAAATTTCGAATATTACAAAAACCTATGGTGGAAATCTCAGAACAAGCTGTTTTAACCCGTCTATAGGCTCGATACAATCCCGCAAAAATATCAAAAAAAATTTTCAGATCCGCGGATTTTTGAGTTTTTCGACGACCCCCTGGTCACGGATTCTTTCGAGGTCCCAAAACTGAACTTTGGAAAAATATTTCTAAAATTGCAGATAGAATTTCCGTGTTTGCTTTGCTTCGTTGTGTAGGACTGGCGTCCATCTAACATGTAAACAATTTCTAGCTACCGTACCCATTTGGAAGGTTGCTTTTTAGCGCCTCCAAAACGGTTGGTTCGTGCTATTTCACAGACCTTTGTGCCAGCCTATAAAAGTCATTTGCGCGGCTAGAATTATTGTCGTAATTTTATTTAATACTACTTAATGGGCGCATTCTAACAAGGAGTCGTTTTTAGGTGATATTGGAGTTTTTGGACGAGACCTAGCTAGTTCGATAGAGAAAAAAATTCTGAACAAGTTGTCGTTTTTCAAATCTGCTAACCGTGTACGCTGTTCAATAAAAATCAATTTGAAAATCATTAATCTAACCATCATTTTCCGCCTGATCCGCAGATTCTGCGCTCTGGGTGCGCGTCAACATAGCCCCCTTTAGGCCTCCCTCCAGCCATGACCAGCTGGCCTATTGGTAGTGCGCTTGCTTCATAAGTTTTTTTTTGCCAGCGGGTTCGACTCCTCGCTAGTAAAACTCTTTTGCTTTTTGCTCGATAATGCCAAATTCGATTTCAATGGCATGAAAAACCAAAAAGCAAAACAATAAATCACAATAAGTTCCGAACCCTGGGCATAATTTTGCAAAAGTTTGATAGGCGCCGGCCCTATCCACTAGGCCACGATCTCATGCGGATGTTGGTTCGCGCTGTGGGCTATCTCCCGGGCCTGATCCATGGGTCGCAGCCTGACGTCCAGGAATTTTTTTCATTAAAATTAATTTTTATTGAATACAGTACACGGTTAGCAGATTTGGAAACCGACATCTTGTTCAGAATTTTTTTCTCTATCGAACTAGCTAGGTATCGTTCAAAAACTCCAATATCACCCAAAAACGACTCCTTGTAAGATTATTTTTACAAATTTATTGGGCCATCCAATCACTCAAAAGAAATTCATGAAAAGTGCAAATATACCCGAATTCGAGGCGACGTAAAAAAAATTCTCGAGGGTGTAGTAGCTCCGACTTTTTTGGCATAGACCAAGCTTGCGTGGTCAACTAGAACCCATCAAAATACAAAAACTTTTCAAGGCAAACGAATTTAGAAGAGCTCGCCAAAGTCGGCTTTTCAAAAACGTTAGTTTTGGGTTTTAAATCAAAATTAACCATTCACTTCAGCCAGATCATTCCAGAATTTTGCTCTCATGCACAGTTCGATACGTGCTTTAATTGTATCCACCAAACCCCGATGCCTTTTTCATTTTCAAAAATTCGGTTTTCGAGCCAGGGCGTCGGGTTCAAAATCGGGGCCCGAGGGGGGTTTTCCTCTTTCCCTTATAACTTTGTCATTTGCCATAGGAATCAAGTAATTTTTTGTAGGTGCTCTTACAATCGCCCAGTGAACAGTCTAGAATAGAAAAATTGGCATTTTATGGAATTTTGTCTTGGCATGCTAAAACGCGCTCCAGGCGGGTTACGGTAGTAAACAGAAAATCGTCGTTTTCTCGTTCTTTTCACCATAGAAACGTTTCGATCTTTTGGGAAAACAAATAATAGTAGTTTTTAGTCCGATGCATCGAAGTATTTAGAAATTTCCGTGGCTAAATTCAAAAATAAGTTTTTTGCATATTTTGGGAAGGTATATGGAGAGAACTCCACGATCTTTGGCCAATAGGTGACCCTTATTGGTGTTTACCAATGGAAAAATTTTAAGCAAAATCGAAAAAAAAGAAAAACGCGAAAAACCAAAACTACAGTATCCCTCTGGGGCACGTTTTAGCAAGCAATATTAAAATACCATAGAATCGGGTGATAACTGGCGTTGGATCAAAGATCATCATTTGGAGACACCATTTGCAAAAGATCAGCCATGGGCAGAGAATTTGAAGCGAGTTGCGAATTAAAACGTAAAAAGATGCAAAATAGTGAAATTTGTATTGTTTCTAAAAAATGAAATTGACCTCGATAAATTCTAAGATTTTGCCATTACATTTCTACAAACATCAGCTATTTTTAGGCCAAAAATCAGAATTTTCCCACCACCCGTTCAAGAACGCACAATTTTCGGTCGTAACCAGCGTCAATAGTACAGTTGCGTACTCAAAAATCGAAAAAATCAAGTTGTGTTTTATTTTTTTTCCAGGCCGAGAAAATGGTTTTCAGCCATCAACCCACCATGAATTCATTAAGGTTCTCGAGATAATCGAGCCCAAACCTGTTGTTTTTTTTTTGGGCCACCCTGTAGGTAAGCTGCTAGCTTCCTATCCGCTAGGTCCGGGTTCGAATCCCCGCCGCGACAGGGTTTTTGCTTTTTGGTTTCTTCGTCTAATTAGCTTAAAGTGAGAGTTTCATACCGAAAAAAATGGTGAAATGAACCTTCTGTTTTCAATTGCCTTGAAAATATCGTTTTTTTCAGGTTTTGGGCAGCGCGGAGGAGCGCGATTCCCATGAGCCACACCGAGCAGCGCCTTTTACTACGGTAACCTTCAAGGAGCAACTTTTAGAAAATTGCCAAACCCAACCCAAAAAAAATGGATTTTTCCTTAAAATATCGATTAATCCACGAAAATCGTTATTAAGTTAAATTTTTTAACTAATTAAATTAAAATAAAAACTAAATTCAAAAATTTCATTTAATTTAAACTAAAGTTAAATTAAACTTAATTACTTTGTTAGCGTTAAAATTTAATTCCATTTTTCTAGTGCCGCCCACACGATGGCCGACAAATACGCCGGTACCGCCAATTTTCAGAGCTTCTTGGAGCTGGTGTCTAATGAGGCCTACGAAATGCTCCAACACCCGCCACAGGTACACAAAAAATTATTAAAAAGAACGAAAATAGTAATCAAAATTTATTTTTTTTATTCAAATTAAGCAAAATACACCATCATAAACAAATTGCGATAATTATACCTGAACAGATGGCAAGCTTTTAGCAAACAAAACATTCGAATTTAGCGTCTCGAATCGACATTTAAATGCTATTTTTAATCGAAAAATGCAGGAAATGGCTATGGTCAAGTGGCTAAGAGTGGCGCCTACCAAAAAAGCGACCCTGGTTCGATCCCGGGCGCGGCAAGAATTTTTGCTTTTTGGAAAACCGAATATTACTTTAATTGTGAGCATGGTATGCATAAATTTACGCAAAAATGACAAATATAAGTCCAAAAAAATCGAATAAGGGCGATTTTTGGTGGCCAAAAAACTTAGGAATTTTTTAAGAAGTATTGTTTTGAATTTGGGCATAAGAATTTGTAGTAAAATAAATCAAAAACAAAATATAGATAATTAAGTCAAGAACGTCATAGTGCATTGCTAACGTGTTAACCCATCAGGCGAGCGACCCGGGTTCGAACCCCGGACGCGACAACTTTTTTGCTTTTTGCCTATTCGAAAAGAGATTGAATTTGGATGTGGCGCTTGAGGAGATAGTTGAAGGCGGCCTCTTTTTTGTGGGAATCGAGCAGATCGACTGAGCATGTGCCGTAGGTACGGAAGACAATTGAGGGGCGGATGAAGGAGGTGTCGATACGGACGATATCTTTCTCTAATGTCTTCACCTTTTCCGCATCACTCCTAAAAACGCCTCGTAGAATTGTATATCGTAACGTAACACTTACAAATTATCAAAACTCTGGCTTGAAGTCGGCTTTTGTGGCGTCGGTTTGATAGCTGGCAACCTGAAAATTGGCTATGTTTTTCCGAAAGTATCTTTGCTAGCCTGCCCCGTCCGATTCCTCAAAGAATCTCTGCTAGTTTTACCGTTCTTCTTCCTCTTCCTCCTCATCCTCCTCTTCTTCTTTCATGTTTGGCATAGTTCTCCTCCTCGACGACTTCCTGGTGCTCATCCTAAATTTTCGCACTTTCCACAAAACTCTCTGCTAGTCTGCCCTCTAAAAAACCTACACAGCCAACGTTCGAGGATGCGGTGGTTTTCGGGGAGTAGACTTTCTGGCGTTCATCCTAAAAAATCTCCGCTAGCTCGCTTTTCTAAATAACTTACGCAGCGATTGATTTCGTAATCTGGGCCGCCTGTCTTGGGGCGGGTTTTCCGGCGCTCATTCTAAAATGAAAACCGTCCTTATCCCCCAAAGGATCTCTGCTAGCATGCTTTGCGTTTCCAAAATGATCCTTGTCTTCAATGTCTTCAATGGTCCTTTAAACCCAAACAACCTACACGGCCAGCATTTTGCGGGGAGGGGCCGACGGGCGGGGAGTCGATTTTTGGGCTGACATCCTGAAAAAGTTCCTTCATTATCTTCGCTAGTCTGCCCTAAATTTCCTAAGGAATCTTTGCTAGTCTGCCATCGAATTCCTCAAAGATCTCCGCTAGCCTGCCCTTCGTTTCCTCCCTTTAAAATTTTTTACTTACACCGCCATCATTTTCGGAGTTTGTGCTGGCTTTGCGGCGAGGCGCGGCTTGCTGAAATTAATTTTATATCGAAAAATTAAATTATTTGACCTAATTTAAGTTTTCATTAGTAATGGGGTTTTAAAGGTGCTCAAACCAGCCTAAGCCTGAACCTAAGCTCAAACCTAAATCCAAGCCCAGCCTAAGTCTGAGCCTAAGCCCAAGCCTATGCCTAAGCCTAAGCCTAAGCCTAAGCCTAAGCCTAAGCCTAAGCCGAAGCCTAAGCCTAAACCTAAGCCTAAGCCTAAGCCTAAGCCTAAGCCTAAGCCTAAACCTAGGCCTAAGCACTCTGAAGTCAAACCCATAGGAATAACTTACCTTTCCCCTGCCGCCTCGGCCTCCTCCTCTTCTTCCTCAATCTCCATTTTTATGGCCGCTTTTCGGGGAGAAGTCCTTTTAGCGGTGATTCTAAAAAGCCAGGAAAATTCCGCAATTTTCTCTCCTGGCTTGTCCTCGTTTGAAAACTCACACAGCTGTTCTCTTGCGAAGTCGGGGCGGAGAATTTGATTTTGCCTCACGCTTAACCGTAACTTTATGGCCATCTAAAAGGTTTTTTTAGGGAGAGAGAACGAGAGAGAGAGAGAGAGAGAGAGAGAGAGAGAGAGAGGGAGAGAGGGAGAGAGCTAAAGAGAGAGAGAGCGAGCAAGAGAGAGAGAGAGAGAGAGAGAGAGAGAGAGAGAGAGAGAGAGAAAGATAGAGCCACCTTTAAATCCATATTTTGCGAGGCAATGTTGAACATTCCCTTCGGGTTCCCATGTCACCTCATCGTATCCGTACCATTTCACCTCGTAGTAAAACTGGCCGTCCGTCTAGTCAATTATTTTATATGGCATTAACTTCATCAATAAATTAACGTCATTAAAGTAATTAAGTCAATTTATTTAATGTAAAACTTTAGAAAGATATTAAGATTTTTTAATTTAATTTACCTGATAGAAAATACTTGTTAATGACAGTTTTTAGCGTTACTTCACTAATAATTTTTCAAAGAATGCATTAAAAATCTACCTCACTCCACAGGGACTTTGAAATATTCTCCACCACGTATTGGTTCGGCTTGCCGGCGGCCGGTGTACGCGGCATTCCTATTAACGGTAAATAAATGTTAGAAAAAGACGTATTTTAGGAGCTAAACAGCCAAATTTACTGCAGAAAAAGTTCCGATTTATATTAGAAAATTTGAACAAAAAAAAACAGCTGGGGAGCTTTTGGCAATATTTGAATGCCGTGATGAAGAGGCGGAAGGGGGAGAGAGTGGGGAGGGAGAGGAGAGGGGCAGAGAAGACAGAGAGACAGTACGGGGGAGGGAGAGAGAGACAGACAGACAGACAGTTGCCATTGGCCCCCAGGGCACACAGGCTATTTGTCTAATTCTAAGAGACAGCTGGTGGTCTGCTCAAAAGGACTATATTTTTAGAAATGCTCGTAAATTCGCCTTCTCAGGCCCTTTAAAGGGATCGGCAAGGTACGGCTATGGATTCTTCCAAGGATATCTGCTAGCCTGCCCTTCGATCCCTCAAAGAATCTCTGCTAGCCTGCCCTCCGATTCCTCAAAGAATCTCTGCTAGCCTGCCCTCCGATTCCTCAAAGAATCTCTGCTAGCCTGCCCTCCGATTCCTCAAAGAATCTCTGCTAGCCTGCCCTCCGATTCCTCAAAGAATCTCTGCTAGCCTGCCGTCCGATTCCTCAAAGAATCTCTGCTAGCCTGCTCTCCGATTCCTCGAAGAAGCTCTGCTAGCCTTGATGATATGAGCATGCCATGATATGGCTTGCTAGTCCCTTTAAACCTAATTTCACTTAGCGATACGGTATTCCAGGTGAAACCCGAAGAGACAGCCCTTTTCCTCAGTCAAAGCTGGAGTCGTCCGATCGAAGGAGGGCCTGCCAAGGAGCTTCAAAACCTCGGTGACGGGAATTTGGACCTAAACGCCAGGTTTGATGTTTTAAAGGGATAGGTAAGCTTTTTTGAACCGAAAAGCAACCCATTTCCACCTCGGAGGAATCGAACCTGCGAGCAAAAAATTTGGAGCCTGAAAAACAACCAATACACCACAGGGGAGGAAATGTCGGCTGAGCTTAAAAATGCTAAAAATTCCAGAAAATACGCCCTGGACAACCTAATCTCCCTGGCCAACTCGCACTTTTTGGATGGTCAATTCCTCGATGATGCCCTACCCGTATTTTTCGATATTTTGGAGGTATACTTCTATCATAATCCGTCAAAAATTCTATTTTTTTAGGTATTGCCTGACGTTCTGATAATGTTCTCAAAGCTGCTGGAAAGCGAGGAGTCAATTGTACGTTCTAGAAAAACCGATTTTCCAAAAAATCTTGATTTTTTAGATACAAAAGAAAAGTTTTGCTGCGGTAGCTTCCTTCATTTTTCGAGATGACGTTGATTTATCGAAAAATCGAGCAAGAGAATTGGTGATGCTATTTGGAAAGGTGGGCAGGCTAGCAGAGAATCTTTGAGGAATCAGAGGGGCAAGCTAGCAGAGATTCTTTGAGGAATTTCCAGGTTTTGCACCGACTTCCGGAATATTGGCGTCGTCACGACGTCGATATTCTGGAGTCTATGACCGCAGCGTTCTTCGATAACTTCCAGCTATCACATCAGGTACCGTAACCCTCAAATTCCGTTCCATTCCTATGGACCGTCGATTTATTGGAAGAATCGGGTGATTTCCCCGGTTTTCTCAACCTGTGGTGGTCAATTCTGGATGTACGGCGGCATATTGTGACGTATGTAAAGAGGATAGCAGTGGAAATTGTGGATATGCTGGATGGGGGAACGGTGAGTATTACGGTAGCTATGGCACACTTTAGAATCCAAAAAGGCCAAAACCAAGAATTTTCAAAAATCAAAAAGTTATCCGCACGCAGGAGTCGAACCCTCTACCCTTAGCTTAAAAGCCGAGATCACTAACCACTAGGCTACAGTGCGGATTCCGGTTTTCTTTGTGATTGTGTCTTTTTTGTGATTTTTTTTGTATAGGTTTATATTTTAGTGCTCCCCAACCCGTACATCAAATCTCCTCTCAATACTCGTCCATTTCTACGTCTTTACCGTATCCAATCGATTCCGACAAAAACTAGGGTAGCATAAGGGCATTTTTTAGCACATCCAGTTCCAAATTTCAGGCTTATTCTCGTGAATTCGCTATCTCCATCGTATCACTCGAAAATCGCCCGTCAACTGGCCAGTCACGGGGTCTGCGCCCTCGGGCTACTCGTACAGTGTACTAACGCGGAACTAAAGGTTTCATTTTCAAATTCCAGCATTTTTTGTTTTAAAAAAATACAAACGGCATAAATTTTTTTTTTCAGGAAATCCACGCAATTACCGTGGCAAACAGTCGTCAACCCCTCGTAAAACTCGACAAGTTTATGGAAAAACGGGCCGGCCGTCGATCCTGAATTGTTTTACCGTTTTTTTATATGTTTTCAAGAGAATTTAATAAATGTATACTGTCGTATAAATTCAGAAAATCAAAACATTACGAAATCCATCAAAAATAATCAGGAGCAAGGCCCCTAATTTCACGTGTTTTTTTAGAGAGAGAGCAACAAGGGAATGGATCTTTTGTATTATCAGGGGGGGGGGAGATAAATAGTTTGTATAAACCTAGAAATGCCTATTAAGTCAATAGGAAGTATTTTATTGTGTTTTTTAGTAAAATATCACTATATTTCAACGAGAAAACTACTTAAAAGATTCAAAACGTTTGAAAAGCCGAAATTTTGGCCATAAATCGGGGATTTTTTGTCAAAAAATCTATATTATTTGCGTTTTTATCAAGCTTTTGTCAAGTTTGTAATGTCGTAACGCCTTGTAAAGAACCCAATTTCTCGTTCTCGGTGATTCCCTGGCCAATTTTCATAATTAAAACGTCAAGAACGATCCAAATTCGACGAGGATTCCGAAAAAAACGTCAGAATTTGTAAATTCAAGCGTTTTCACGTCCAAACAGGGGCAAAAGAACCGGCGGCGCAACTGCGTAGCGGTCGCATCTGGCTATTTGCCAGGAATCGACGCTGGGGGCGTGGACCAGACTGCGGTGCCCCTTTAAAGGGATACCCAAGGTTTTGGCGGCAAATATATAGTTATGGATTCCGGGCAGTACAAATGACGCGCGAGTTTTGTGCGTAACTGGCTGCCCATTTCCGCACAGAATTCGGCCACCTTTCTCTCTTGTGGCGTCCCCATCCCACCCAATGGCTTGCCACGATGGCCTAATGGATAGTATCCAGGCCTACAAAGCGGGGTTCCCGGGTTCGACCCTCGCCCTCGGCAAGGTTTTTGCTTTTTGAACCCCGAAAAGGTTGGGCATCCCTTTAATTATGTGTTCTTTGCTCATAACTCTGTAGTATACAATATGCCCCAGGCCACAAAATTTTCGAAATTAACGGGGATGATGGTTTGAACTTTGGCGGGGCAGGCGGGTCGACCCTCCTCATTGGGTCAACGGGAATTAAAAGGTATAGATAAGGGGGGACCGTTATCAGTCTGTTTTGACTGGCACCTTCCTTCCCCTCGAGACAGAGGGGCCATTTCTTCTGGTCAGCCCATTCTGCCCCTCCAGAATGTCGAAAATATTTTGGCGGGAAAGCAGACGTTGTCCCCGCTTTTTCCTGAATTTTTCGGATGCCATTTAGAATTTTTAAAGTTCGGAAATTTCCAGAAATGGGGTTGTATCGTGCGGTGTGTGTTCTACTGGTCGTCCTTGCTGCCGTCGAGGCCCTCAACAGGTAACTGGGAAAAAATCCAATAGCTCCGCCTTGCCGGCCCCTTTAAAGGGACCAACAAGGCAATGTTGTGGATTTTTTGGTACTGGACTGTTAGCGGGGGGGGGGTAGCAAGGCAACTACTTTTTTCTTAACGTAGGTTATTCAGGTTCTTTGGCATTATCGGGGGATGGCTCAACTTTTTTCTAAAGGTCTAATTTTTCTATTAAAAGTAGAAAAAGCTATCCAATTTTTTTACTATTTTTAAACAAAAAATTTACCAATTTTATTATAAGAATGCAAAAATATAGATTTTCGACAAAAAGTAGCCGATTTTTACCAAATTTTTCATTTTCAAACCGTTTTAAAGCTTTTTAATGCAGTTTTTCCACTTGCAATTAAGTCAACCAAAAACACCATTAAAATACTCGCTACTACGGTACTAGGAATTTCTGGAATTACAAGAAACTCCGAAAAAATACCCGTTTTTGCAGATACAACGTGCGTGGATGCTACAAAAAGACGAGAGTCTACGAGCACAAGTAAGTCGAATTACGCCTACTGGATCCCCTAAAACCTGCCCTCATACCGTAACCCTCTTTCAGACATCGCCCCCGCATCTACGAGAGCCCCAACTTTGATCACGACAAAGTGCCGATCGCTTGGGATTGGAGGTATTTTTGCTCAAAAGATCTCTGCTAGCATGCCATCCATTTATTAGGAACGCTGATGGTATCAATTATGCTTCAGTGGACCGGAATCAGCATATACCGCAGTACTGTGGATCCTGCTGGGCTCATGTAGGTTTTTATCCATTTGGGGCAGGCTAGCAGAGATTCTTTGATGAATCGGAGGGCAGGCTAGCAGAGATTCTTTGAGGAATCGGAGGGCAGGCTAGCAGAGATTCTTTGAGGAATCGGAGGGCAGGCTAGCAGAGATTCTTTGAGTAATCGGAGGGCAGGCTAGCAGAGATTCTTTGAGGAATCGGAGGGCAGGCTAGCAGAGATTCTTTGAGGAGTCGGAGGGCAGGCTAGCAGAGATTCTTTTGAGGAATCGGAGGGCAGGCTAGCAGAGATTCTTTGAGGAATCGGAGGGCAGGCTAGCAGAGATTCTTTGAGGAATCGGAGGGCAGGCTAGCAGAGATTCTTTGATGAATCGGAGGGCAGGCTAGCAGAGATTCTTTGATGAATCGGAGGGCAGGCTAGCAGAGATTCTTTGAGGAATCGGAGGGCAGGCTAGCAGAGATTCTTTGAGGAATCGGAGGGCAGGCTAGCAGAGATTCTTTGAGGAATCGGAGGGCAGGCTAGCAGAGATTCTTTGAGGAATCGGAGGGCAGGCTAGCAGAGATTCTTTGAGGAATCGGAGGGCAGGCTAGCAGAGATTCTTTGAGGAATCGGAGGGCAGGCTAGCAGAGATTCTTTGAGGAGTCGGAGGGCAGGCTAGCAGAGATTCTTTGAGGAATCCGGAGGGCAGGCTAGCAGAGATTCTTTGAGGAATCGGAGGGCAGGCTAGCAGAGATTCTTTGAGGAATCGGAGGGCAGGCTAGCAGAGATTCTTTGAGGAGTCGGAGGGCAGGCTAGCAGAGATTCTTTGAGGAATCGGAGGCAGGCTAGCAGAGATTCTTTGAGGAATCGGAGGGCAGGCTAGCAGAGATTCTTTGAGGAATCGGAGGGCAGGCTAGCAGAGATTCTTTGAGGAATCGGAGGGCAGGCTAGCAGAGATTCTTTGTGGTATCGGAGGGCAGGCTAGCAGAGATTATTTGTGGTATCGGAGGGCCAGCTAGCAGAGATTCTTTGAGGAATCGGAGGGCAGGCTAGCAGAGATTCTTTGAGGAATCGGAGGGCAGGCTAGCAGAGATTCTTTGAGGAATCGGAGGGCAGGCTAGCAGAGATTCTTTTGAGGAATCGGAGGGCAGGCTAGCAGAGATTCTTTGAGGAATCGGAGGGCAGGCTAGCAGAGATTCTTTGAGGAATCGGAGGGCAGGCTAGCAGAGATTCTTTGAGGAAACGGAGAGCAGGCTATCAGAGATCTTTGAGGACTCGGATTATTTGGGATGGATGGATTAGGACGGCAGAGATTATTTGGGATGTTTCTGATTTCCAATTTTTAGGGCGCCACCTCTGCTCTGGCCGATCGTATTAACATTAAGCGGAAGAACAAGTTCCCTCAGGCTTTCCTCTCCATTCAGGTATCCATTAAAAAGTAGATTTTTCTAGCATTTTCTTCAAAATTTTATTACAATAATTTAGGTTAATATACATTTAACTCTACTTCAAGTGGAAAATTTTTCTAAAAATTGGATTTCCGAATTTTTTGTCGAAAAATCGACACTTTTGTAATTTTCTACTTGTCTAATAAAATCCCCCCCCGTTAATGGAAAAGCGCCAAATTCCAAGATATACCACCGTAACCAGCTCCTATCTTCAGGAGGTAATCGATTGTGCCGGTGCTGGATCTTGTGAGGGTGGAGAGGCCGGGGCTGTCTATGCCTACGCCAAGAAACACGGAATTCCCCACGAGACTTGCAACAATTATCAGGCTCGCGATGGAGGCAAGCTAGCAGAGAGCATTTGGGAATAGTTGCCAATTTTTAGAGTGCAACCCTTACAATCGGTGTGGATCTTGCTGGCCGGGCAATTGCTTTGCCATCTCGAACTACACGCTTTACAAGGTGGGATTAGATTTTTGGCTTCAATGGCCCTTTAAAATAGGTTGTACGGTAAAACAATTCTTTCTAAAAATTGGAATATTTTTATGAGCTTTTCGCAAAAGAGCAAAATATTCCGTCTTGGGCCGGGTTCGAACCCGGACCCTCAGATTATCAAGGGAGAACGCTACCAATGCACCAGGGCTGGAATTTACATTTTTGCCTTCAAGATGCTCCTTTAAAATTCGGCCTTCGACAAAAAGCGTAATTTCCATATATTGCGCCAAGATTTTTGAAGTTTTTTCCACCAAAAAGCAAAAATTTTACGCGGCCCGGCATCGAACCCGAACCGTGAGATTATGAGGCGAGAACACTACCAATACGCTAAAAGCAAAAAAAACCGGAATTATGTTTTTTACAAGCGGATGGATTATAGCTTCTGTAATGTCGGGTATTTTTCTAAAATTTGCTAAAACTACCGTAACCCCTCGATTGTTTCAGGTGAAGGAATACGGTGAGGTGAAGGGGCTGAAGGCGATGAAGGCCGAGATCTACAATCATGGGCCGATCGCTTGCGGGATTGCTGCCACCAAAAAGTTTGAGGATTATGCGGGAGGCATCTACAAGGTGAGGGAGAGACAGTGAGAGAGAGAGAGAGAGAGAGAGCGAGAGAGAGAGAGAAGGAGATACGTCAAAAACCCTAAAAATTCTCTTTCAGGAGGAAACCGACGAGGAAATCGACCACATCATCTCGATCCACGGCTGGGGCGTTGATCACGATTCCGGTGTCCCGTATTGGATTGGCCGTAACTCGTGGGGACAACCATGGGGAGAGCAGGGATGGTGGGTACACCGTGTTTTTGGCAAAAAGCAAAAAACCTTGTCGCTGAGAGGATCCGAACCCTGCCGGTGCAATTCGGAGATCCTGGAGTGCTAACCACTCGGCCATGCCCACAGCGAGAGGGGGAGGGGGAGAGGGGGGCTGAAGAGAGGAGTGCGGCGATTTTAGGCGCGTTTTTATCGTTTGTTCGGGAAAAGCGGCACATTTTTTCTCCAAAAACTCTTTTGCGTCTTTTGAAAAATGTGTAACTCATAAAAAATGCCGAAAATCGAAGAAAAAATGCCGGATTTTTGAAAATTGGAAAGATAATTGCTGACAGTGATAGAATTGCATTATTTTCAGGTTCCGCATCGTCACGTCTGAATACAAGGACGCCGGAAGTCGCTTTAACCTCAGGGTATGTTTCATTCAATTAAACAGTAGTAGTATTTGGTTAAACGCCTTAATAATCCTACTATATATAAAAAAATAGTGTCTGTGTGTGTGTGTGTCCGTGCCACTTTGCATGCAACTTCCGTCAGCGTGTTCCAGTAGTATCTCAATTAGGGGGGTAGCTAGGGGTATGTATTATACCTCATTGGGTGCGTAATGACCTTGGGATGACTGCACACTAACAAAATTTTCAAAAATTAGCTGTTTTCGACGTTAAAATTAAGTTTTGTTGAAAACTCCAGGACCCTCTTTGTTAGGAAACAATTAGCATGCGCCGGAAGTTACGGTTGCCTATAAAAAGGGAAGAGAGGTAGCGTTTCTCCTTTTTTTCATCAAAAATCGCGAGAATTATGCAAAGTGCAGCATATCATGGGATCAGACTGGGCCAGGGTTGAAAAGGCGCGAAGCGGCTTTTCAACCCTGGTAATTAATTAATTAGCTAATACAATAATTACGCTTAATGAAAATAGATCCAATTAAATAGCGTATTTAAATATAAGAAATGTAGGCAAGAATAATTTTAAAATGAATGGAATTTAGGTGGAAGAGGACTGCGTTTGGGGAGATCCGATCATCGATTTCGACTAACATCAACCCCTCGAGTACGCTCCATTCCTATGTACCTATCCCTAATTTAACTTATCCATTTTTTCTGATAAATTTTTAAACTCCTAAAAACATTTAAAACACATTTCAACAAGATAAAAATCTTGCTTAATTGCACTGAATATGTTCAAAGTTAAAATCGATTCACTTAAAAATCATCTTTATTCAATTCAATATAGTTGATATTCCTTTCTTCGGCCGTAATTCGTGGGACAACCATGGGGGGAGCAGGGATGTAGAGTTCAGAAATTTTTTGGGAAAAAGCAAAAACATTGTCGCTGAGGGGTCCGGAACCCGGGTGCTGATTCGAAGAGCCTGGAGTGCTAACCACTCGGCCACTCCCACAGCAGTGCGGGATCGGGGCAAGGGAGCTGAAGAGAGAAGGGTCGCCCTTGTGGCGCGAACGGGATTGTTATAACTCAAACAAAACAATCTCGTTTTGTTTGAAACTTTTCGAGTTCAAACAAAACAAACTTGTTTGAGTCGTTTGCACAATTTGTTGTTGGTTTTTTGAGTTATAACAATTCCACCAGTAAGGACAGACTGATTTTGGCAAAAAGCAAAATTTTTGTCGCTGAGAGGATCCGAACCCTGCCGGTGCAATTCGGAGATCCTGGAGTGCTAACCACTCGGCCACGCCCACAGCAGGATGGGGGGGGGAAGGGGGCTGATGAGAGGAGTAGCCGTGGCGTCATCCCTGCCCCATCCCGGCGCGGGGCCCAAAAAATCCGCTTACTTCCTAGTTAGCGGCCCCTAGACATGTCCAATTTTGACGGTTTCGGTATCCATCGAAAGCTCTCGACGAGCTGAGGCGATACGTCCTTGCCGATTTTCGAAATTCCCGAATTTTAAGCTCGACTTTCATCGCTTGTTCGGCAAGAGCCGCAAATTCTTTCTCCAAAACTCAATTTAATCGGCTTAGCCTTCGCCGCATTTTAAAAAGCATGTTAACGCGCTACAAAAATCTGCTTTAATTTGATTGGCTCTGCCTAGATTTTAAAACTAAACTTGTAACTTATATTTATTCAATATTGTTGATATTCCTTTCTTCGGCCAGTGGCACAACAGAGAGATCCAAATACAATACAACCAACGAGTAACAACGCATTAATAGCCAGGGATATGATCAGGACATTGGCCTCCAGTTGGTCACAACTTGGAGGGGAGGGCGGGTGGATGGCTGAAAAGCGGATGTAAGAGGCGGAAATGGAATTTAAAGGGATCTACAAGGAATGGCTATGGATTTACTATAGATTCTGCCGGCACGAAACGCGCGAACGGATTTTATTCCGTAACCCATTATAAGCTTGTAGAAATCCCGGTACTGGACTGTTAGCGGGGGGGCTCTTAAGAGGGTAAAAACTAATTTTTTTGCCTTTCGCCGATACCTTTGAGCAGATATAAAGGATCTATATAGCGTTTTTAGTAGTTTTTGATTGCTAGAAGCCTAAAAACTTTGAAAATTCGAAAAGCTTGACCCTCTTTCGTCATTTTCATGCATTTTTTGACCAAAAGGCAAAATGTTTGAACACTTTGAGTTTTGCGTTTTTTAACCTAAAAATTCTAAAAAATACTATAAAATAATAGTATTTTTACTACTATTTTTATTTCGATAGAGGGCGCTACGGGATTACTTGGAAAAATTCGGCGCCCTGGTAAATACCCCCCGCTAACAGTCCAGTACCAAAATCCATAAAATCGTTAGCCAAAAATAAAATAGATAGCTTTAAACTGAAATCCACGCGGGAGATCGAACCCGGGCCCCTTGCTTGAATGGCTGCCACGCTAACCACTAAGCCACAAAAACCCATTTTCTCAATTTTCCCCAAATACTCTCTGCTATCTTGCCCACCTGGCTCGCTCTGGATCTCAATTTGCGTCGCTGGACACTCGGTTGGCATTGGAGGTAGAGCTCCACGCATCCCGCGAGAAACGCTGCATCCTAGAATACGACCTGGCTACCGTATTCAAAGTTTTTTCTACCGCTACTCCGCTCTAATTCTTCGTAGACGTCGTCACCGGAGCGCATCCATTCATATCTGAAACGATTTTTAGGGAAAGAGAGAGAAAGAGAGAAGGAAAGAGAGAGAGGGATGGGGAGAGAGAGAGATAGAGATAGATAGCGAGAGAGTGAGATAGAGAGAAAGAGCTAGAGAGAGCGAGAGAGAGTGAGCGAGGGAGAGCAACAGATAAATGCCTACCGTTCTCGACACATCCCCAATCCCTGTGCCTTCATCCGAACCTCAGACCATTGCGAAACCAAATGTCGTAGCGCGGAGGAACTGAAACTTTTTGTCTTCAACGTTCCTTTAAAATTATCGATCCCTTTTCTCAAGCGAGAGAACCTAGAAAAGAGGGGATCAGAATCAGAGAATGGAGACCAGGCAACGTGACCCACCTATTCCTGAGATGCATATTGAAGTAGTACGGCGTACACCGATCTGACGACCACACCGGAAGGGAGGTGAATGTATGGACGATCTAAAGGAAGTGGTTCTAATGGACTAGGCGAGCTTAAGCTAGGCTTCGGCTTGGGCTTAAACTTAGGCTTAGCTAGGCTTCATCTTCCCTACCTGTCGCAACAACCGCGTATTCGATGTCGAGAGCAGCAGAACGCCGGGAGGGAATTCCTAAATTGGTCCGGATACGCGGATGGTAGACTAGCAGATATTCTTTAGGAAAATTTGGCCCACCTGGATCGGATTTCCATCAAGGCGTAGATCAGAGAGTGAAGAGAGATGCACCAAGACTTCCGGTGGTAATGATGAAGCCGAGTGGAGTAGGTTGAAGCCGAGGTTGACACTAAAAAGGGAGGCTGGAGAGAGAGAGAGCCAGCGAGAGAGAGAGAGAGCGGGAGGGAGGGAGGGAGAAAAGGTTCTATTGATCCTTACTGTGTCAAATGGCATAAAGAGGTGATCGCCGAGGGGATTTTCGTCAAGTTGGCGCTCTCCAGATTTAGGCTCTAAAAAGACACTATATTTTGGTTGCGTAATCGGTTGTGTGAGTTTTAAAGGAGCCTTCAAGGCATTTCTCTGGCTGGGTCCTTATATCGATTTTCCGACACGCAAAATCAGTAAATTTGCCTTTACAATCCATTTAAAATAATCCTAAATCAACTTTAATTTGAAATTCAAATAACCTTTAAATTATAAATAATCCGTATTCCTTTAAAATCATCCAAACCTTCAAATTTTTAAGCGAAACCAGCGCCAATGGGTGGATGGTGTGTAGTGGAGTATGATCAAGAGCCAACGATCGTAGACTCGGCAATCCGGTCAACGCCCCTGGTTGCAAAGTCTAAAATTTTCCTAAAGAATCCTTGCTAACATGCACCTGTATAAAAGTATGGCTGAGCTTCAAATACTTGAGCCGTCGATTGTTGGCAAATGCGCGGGCGGGAAGGGCGGTCAACGGATTCCCGGAAATGTCCAACACGCGAAGATCCACACATTTCGAGAGCGTATGAGCGGAGAGGGCAGAGATCTGTAGAAAAAATATTAAAAATATTACGGTTCTGGTTCATTACCGGGGGGAGCCACCTTTCCTATACGTCCAGAAATGCCTGCCATCGTGATAGCAAGGGTTTTAATAGGCTTTTTTGTTAAATTTAACGATATTTCAAGTAGAAAAATCATAGAAAAATTTGAAAAATTCTTAGATTAAAGCTTTGGACAAAAAAAAAAATCGATATTCTTTGCATTTTTTCAATCAAAATTAGCAAGTTTTTCCGCTTAGGTATAGTAAAATTTTGTTAGAAACATTTTCTATATTTTTAACACCCAAAAAAATAAATTTTTTACATTTTAACAAATTAAATTCTAAGAAATCCTCCCGGCTGCCCCCGCTAATGGACAAGCGCCAGGATCCCAACCGAATTACCTGATTTTGGGTGAGATCGAGGTCACGAAGCTGTGCGCTGACAAAAACGACATTGTGCAGATCGGCCAGCTGATTCGAGGCGAGATGGGCGGAGGTGAGGACGCTCAGTTGCGAAATGGCAGCCAACGAGTCTAGTTCGGTGCCTGAAAACGTATATTTTACGTAGAAAACCTCAATAGAAAGCTTGGTGGAATTATTTTGCGTCGAAAAACCGTTGTTTTTATTTTTTTAATACAAATTTTCGTTTTTATGTTTAAAGACCCCAAATTTCATGTTTAATCGCTTACCTTTTATCGTAACCCTCGCCAACACGCGATTCTGCACAATCCCCTTTGGTAATGCAGCCATCGTCGAATTTTCGACGTGAAGCGTTTTCAGCGTTGAGAGAAAAGCTGGCGGCTAAAAAATGAACTTTATAACGATAAAAAACCGGTTTTTTACAAAGATTTCACGTTCTCATCGCCAAAAACTTTCATAGAATTAATTAGAAAAGAAAACAGGAAACCTACGACATTTCCCCACTCAAAATCAACGTTAACGATGCGTAGATGCTGAACAGAGGCCAAAAGCTGCCAAGCACGATGCAATTCCACCGGACGCTCGCGGGACAGCGAAAACTCGAGGTTCTGAAAAGGTAGTTCAATCAATATAAAAACATATAAATCTATAGCACTTAATCATTAATTCAAATGTTTTGAAGTTGACCTGAAGCCTGCTAAAACAAGGCGCCAAGCTGTTCAGTGGCGTGTCGTCGAGCGGCAAATCGTAGAAACTTAGCGCAACAACGTCCAGGTCGCACAGCGCTTCCAAGGCCGCTCTCGTCGTGCTAAAACAAGATAAAAACTTCAAAAAGAAGTTAAAGACTTTCTCTTCAATTTTACTGTCTTTTTTTTCTTTTATTCTCTTTCATATATCACTTTTAAGCTGCTCACCGCGTCCATTTCTCGACCGTTACGACGAACGGCAGCTTGAAGGAGTTCAGGGATAGCATGTTGCATTCCTAAAGTTAAGGATTGGTTTTTAGTATTAGTGATTAACGCCTAAGCGTTGTTTTGCATTATCGAGGCGACAAAATTTTGTTTTAGATAATTACACAGCAGCCTACTGATACAAAAGCTAATCTTTTACTAACATTTTTACAAAAATTTAGCTGTATTTCCAGTGAAAAAGCATTCAGGAGACCTAGAAACGTTGCAAAAAGCAAAAAAAACGGACCCCGCGATCACAATGCACGTCAAACAATTGTAGATGGCATTGGCAGTGCTCGGTTTGGCAGAGGCCCACCGGGGAAAAGCCGTCAAATGGTGGCGAGGCACTGTTGCAGCAAACCTGAAAGTTTAATAAAAAAATTAAATAAAATTTAAATAAAATTTAGAGCCGGTCTCAAAGCATTTTTGAGAGTTTTTCGCCACCATTTCACTAAAAACAAGCCTTCAAAATGCAAGATTCGCTAAAAATTGAATATATTTGCATCGATTTAAGTTCTGTTTTCGTTTTTCAGTTTATTTTTTAGAGAGTGCGTAATTTTTCGGGCTGTTTTCCACGACAAATTCACTAAAAAGGCCGGCAAACCTCACCAAATTGACGCCACCACTCCTCCGCTGCACATCCGGACAGTGCTGGATTGTCGTTACATTAGGGTCGATCCGATTGTTGAGCTGATCGGCCGATACCGAAGCCAAAAAGAGCGTCAATAACCACCACGATCGCATCGTCTACCCGCTATTTGGCGATGCTCTAGGTATACCCGATCACATCGGCAAAAATCTCCGAAAACCGAAACGAAAACGAGCGAAACCAAAAAAGAAACGGAGAACAATTTTTGAACAATTTTTAAAACCCGTTACTAGGAAGTTACTGACGCGTTTCTTAAAAATAATTTTAAGCCGTGTCAAGCCACGATAGAAAAGTTATACTATCAAATTACTCTGGATTTTTGCTTCATCAGGGTCGCCCAAAGATGAAAGAAAGTTTCGAAAGTGGCGAATTTAATAATTCGAAAGATGTCTGTTTCGAAAATAAACATAAAGCTAATAAATACTACAACTATTAAAAATCACAACAAATAAACTCACCTGTTCAGCAAGGCTTCTAGCCTAGCCTCCAAAAAGAAGGCGCGAAAAAGTAAGCTAGTTGGGGTGGCTAGTTCTTGCTAGCCCCCCCTTCTGCTCGGCCGTATTGCGTGAAATGTGATTGGCTCGAGTGTCGGGCCAACGAGACCCCCGGGTTTCCGGGATTTGATTTCCCCGATGAAGTAGGTAACAAGTACTAAATCAAAAGGATATCTTCATATAATGAACAAGAAGGGCTCTAGATACCTCTGGAATCTTGGACATTCGAATAACCTAAATTTTTTGGTTCTGGGACTAAACTCCTTGATGGCTACATTCAGGCCCGTAGGAGGGAGGGGGCCCAGGGGGCCCTGGGCCCCGCCCGAAATCGGTCGAGGTCCGAAAAATTCATAAGGGGGGACCCTTATGATTTTTAGTTACAAAAATTTTTCTGCCTGCGGCGCTGTTTATTACTGTTTTTCAAACAGTTTTTACTTACATGTGGCCTATTTTTTCAAAATTTTTTTTCCTGCGGCGCTGGTTTTTCATTTGCGAATCAATTGTTCACAAAAATTTTCGCCTGCGGCGCCTTTTCTGCCGTGTTTTCACACGAATTTGAGTGTAGCGAACGCTTTTTTGCGATTCTTTTGCCTGCGGCGCTATTATTGACGCGATTTTCGGATGTTTTAAAAGTAGCGACCGGGGGGGAGGTCGCCAAAATTTTTGGGCCCCCCCCCCCCCGAAATTTCGGTTCCGCTACGGGCCTGGCTACATTTAAAGCGTGTTTTGTAGTTTTTGAGATCTAAGTTATCAAAAAAAGCAAAAATTTAAGAAATTTCAACATTTTTGACAACAAAACCCAAAAATTTTTCCAAAAATTGGATGACATATTATGGCTTTTAAGAACAAGGAAGAAATTCCACTAAAATAGCGCATGAGCATAAGTAAATTCGATCCCCCCCCCCGATAACGTAACAGAATCGGGAATGTTCCTGAAATTAATTTTTAAAGTAGTTATCGTTAAAGTATATAGCCACGGCACCCAAAAACCTCATCAAAAAAAATTCGGCAGTCGGAATTGGGCGTTCCCCTATCCGACATCTCGGCGAATTTCAATTTGCCGTCGCCCGTCCGGCCTGTTGACTCTGAAGGCGGGTGCTAGCGGGCCTAAAGACAAGAAAAACCCTTGCTCCCCGTCCGGCTTACTACCCCCGGACAAAAAAGCCCAATCTTGGGAGGACAGGCTAAAAAAAACGAGGATCTCCCACTCCTCAATCAACCCCTATTGTCCCCAGGAATGAGCCCCATTCCGTTGTGCTCGATTCGAAGCATCCGTGCTGCGCGAAAAACTTCAGCTTCACTTTTTGTGGTGCCAAAACGAAATTTATTCTTTCACGAGCGGGACCCAAAAAAAGGCTAGAAATATCTGAAAGATTGAGATCTGATCACAAATGACACCCAAAATTCGGGTGAAACATCACGAGTTATAATAGTTGCAAAGAAATCACTAGGGGAAAATCGTTACATCATCTGCTTATTTCTTTTTCTTGCGCTCTTCCTCCTTTTCGGATTCGACGAACATCTTCAGGTTGTCGTCGACCATGCTAAAAAGGAATTTTATAAAGCTTTCCTGCTTTTTAAAGTTTATAACCATATAACTTTAAATTTAAAACCACACTTTATAATTTTCCATTCTTTCATACATCCTACTATCCTACTATATATAAAAAATAGTGTCTGTGTGTTTGTGTGTGTGTGTGCCACGATTTCGCACCATTAGTCATAAAACCATTAGTCATAAACCCGTTAGTCATAAACCCATTAGTCATAAATTCCATTAGTCATAAACCCATTAGTCATAAATTCCATTAGTCATAAACCCATTAGTCATAAATTCCATTAGTCATAAACTCATTAGTCATAAATTTTATTAGTCATAAATTCAATAGTCATAAATTCCAATAGTCATAATGTTATAAAACTGATAGCTTGGAAATGGTATTCTCTGACATAATCCTGTTAAGCAATCCAAAATTAATAGGTTTAATGATATCCGATCAGGTGCAACCAAGAAGTTTGATTCAAGAACACGACACGGACCATCACATACACCTCAAAACCTCTAACCACAAACCTCGAAACTCAAAACACAAAACTCAACACTCAAACCTCAAAATCTATGATTAATAAAATTTATGACTATTGAATTTATGACTAATGGAATTTATGACTAATGGTTTTATGACTAATGGAATTTATGACTAATGGTTTTATGACTAATGGAATTTATGACTAATGGTTTTATGACTAATGGAATTTATGACTAATGGGTTTATGACTAATGGAATTTATGACTAATGGGTTTATGACTAATGGGGTTATGACTAATGGTTTTATGACTATTGGATTTCGCCCGTGTGCCACTTTGCATGCAACTTCCGTCAGGGTGTCCGGAGGATATCTCGAGAGGGAAAGGGTTTTAAGCAACCTATGATACGTCATTAGGTGCGTAATGGCACTGAGATGACTGCACACATCAGATTTTGCAAATTAAGCTATTTTCGACGTTAAAATTAAGTTTTTGTTAGAAAATGGAGTACCCACTTTGTTAGGAATCAATTAGCATGTGCCGGAAATGGCGCGAGCCTATATAATGGGCGGAGGGAGAGATTTTCATTTTTTTTGTCATCGGAATTCGCGAGGATTATGCAAAATGAAGCATATTATGCCGCTAGACGGGGGCCAGGGTTGAAAAGACGCGAAGCGGCTTTTCAACCCTGGTTAAATTTAGAACGAAAAACGTTCACCCACTCTCTATAATACCCCTCTGCCAAATGCGCGTAGGCCAGCCCAAAAAGTGCGCCACCGAGATGCGCGGCGTGGTCGAATAGTCTAAAATAATAAATTTTTCTCTGGTCAAATAATCACCTGAAGCCCGCAATTAATCCGATAACGTCGAACAGAATGACGCCGAGTATCGCCGACTGGGCGGAGAAATCGAAAAATGGCAGGAAGACGATTTGGAGACGGGCTTCTGGTATCTAAAGTTCTCAACGTAAAAGTTATGAACCCAAACCTAGTCAAAAAAAATCAAAGTATGGTCAAAAATATACCTTGCTACACGTGTAGGCCAATAGTCCCAGAATGGCGCCGCTCTAAACAAAGCTAATTTAAAAGCTTTTGAAAAGCTTACAGCTCCAACAGCTCGAATCGGCGATCGAATAGATGACTTGTGTATCAACGACGTAAACGATGCGACAACTCCGGCCGATGCGTACATCGCGATGAACTGGGGGACACCGAGGAATTTGTCGATGGCGACCTAAAACTATTTGGGACTAGAGAACGCGACTTACCCCTGAGAACGACCACAGGACGTACATGTTGAGGCCGAGATGGATGAGGGACGAGTGTGAGAAGACGGACAGTAACATTGGCGAACATAGGGATTTGGAGGCATAGCTGAAAAATTCGATTGACTTTGTTTCAATTTATCGTGAGCACGACGCGTCAAAACAGATCCAAGACATCTTGAGATTCACCTATTACTAAAATAACGCCACATAAACGCCTGCAACTGCGGCACCTTCCATAACGCCGTCACCACACAATTCGCCAGGATGAGCGAAAGGGCGCACTTCATCCCGGGCGTCAGCTCCACTTCTTGGTCTTGAGCTATCTAATCAAACGATTTTTAGGCGAATCTACCAGCACCCACCCTCCGCGTTTGTTTGTAGAAATTCCTAATCAATTCCCCGGCGGGCACGCGCAGCGCATCATAAGCCAGATATCCATCGTAAAGCGCGGCCACGGAGAATGCGCCAACGGTGAACTGATGAATAAAATGGAAAAATAACGGTTAATTACCACAGCTGAAAATATCCCAGCTTTCCATAGGTGTGAATGCGGACGGACGGGGATCGAATCGGGGTAGACGGGATGTTGGAAAAGGGGTTCTGCCTGAAAAAAGGTGAATTAAAAAGGGATATACTCCACTTTTTGCGCCGATTTTAATATATACCTTTGGAATAAAATTGCTAACGTTTCAAAACGGGCTGATATTTTGGTCAAACTTAAACAACTCCTATGTAGTCGATACCTCCTGCACACCATTATTTTTATAGTGTTTTTATGGTTATTTCTGATCAGTACAACATCATGCAACCCCTTGATTTTCAATTTTAAAAAGGTTAACGGCTTCTGTGATGTTGTATTGCTCGGCCCTACGCTAATACTATAGAACGCGATTTTATAATACTAGGCAGAGCGATTAAATTAAAAAGAGCGTTTTTTTCCTTGTTAACAAGGAATCGCCAGTTATTTCTCCAATTCCAGTTGCATTTTCATAAAGCAGCCCAATCCATTGTTAACCTGCCTCTTTAACTTGTATCTTTCTCATTCTCTGCCGCAACCCATCGCGAGTAAATCTGTCCCATAATTTGCCGGTCCGCGAAAAGCATCTTGTCGACTGAAAGGCCCATTTTATCGAGAGAAACCCAACAAAGAAACCTGTATTTGTACAACGAGTCTTGAAAGCATCCCCTCAGCGCGCCGGCATAAAACGAAACTAAAGTAAGGCACAAATATTGCGTCATGCCTCTGCGCCGCTCAATCGCTTACAAAGTTTGTCGATAAGCCATGCAACGCGATAGTACGTGTTTGCTCAAATTCAACGGACTTTCAAAGAAACGTTTATATGTAAAAGTTCGATGCGAAGAGATCAGCATTGCTCATCACTTTGTGGAATTGCGCCGGTAGGGCGAAAAGAGGAAAAGAGAGGTATGCGGATCAACAATTATAACAATGAACAAAGGAAGAGACAACACGAACAACTCGTCAACTGGGGGTACAAATAAATGGAATCGCAGAGAGGGCGGTAAGCAATTTAATAGAACCCGTAGAAGAAGCGAAACGGCAAGCCACTATAGACAGATAACTGAACGCGAGGAGGGAGGTAACGGGCCGGAGAATGCTATGTAACAAAGAAATTCCGGAACAAGAATTCAAGCCGATCGATGCTTAGGGGATGACGGTGGTCAGATTCTCTGCGTGGTGGATATCATCGGGTCTGAAAATACACGGTTTCGTCGACCCTTGTTAGCTAAAAAGCCAATAAATGATTGAAATTTTCGAAATATTTCGTTTTTCGTCAAAAATATAAAAAAGTGGCAAAAATTTATGTTCCCAAAAAACATGGCTTCTGGTAAAAATCTATGAAAAATCGTCTAAAATCGACATTTTTGTAACCTTTTAGTAATCGGAAACAACTAAAAACAATAAAAAATAGTCTACTTTTCTTCACCATCGAAATTGGGCTGAATAAAGCTAGTTACCCCCCGATAACGAACCAGGACCAAAACCCTACCCATGAACATGCGAATGCCCGTGCTGATGCCCATCGTCAAAAAGTCGGAAGGCGCCGATCAGCGCGAATCCGAGCAGCATGAAGCACAGCTTGTACAGATTCGGATGCTCGTTGTCGCGCTCGTGCAGAAGCACCTGGGAAATTAGAGCTTTTCGTAAGGGATAAGATCCGATACCTCGAAGAAGGTGACATAGATGAAGGTTCCGACAGCGAGACCTTGGAACAACGTCATCAAGGCTTCCTTCAGAGCACCGTCAAGGGTATTCTGGACGACCATTCCGAACAGGGAGCCCAGCGGCGACATGATGGCCAAGATGAAGATCGACAGAACCACCTGAACGAGATAATGAAGTCGAAACATCAAAACTTACCCAATGTTTGGCATGCGCATGCGTACGGGCCAGCTGCAACCCCACCGAGAAGGCGACGATGATCTTGTGGACCATCAGCGACAAGCAGAGCGTCCAGGCTTCCGTGGCACTTCCCTAAAAAGGTCGGCTAATTTTCATTTATTTATTATTTTATTTAAAACACTTCGCCTATATTTTCTTAAAGGGGCTCAGAAGTCAAAATTCGTGCGTGCGGGGATTGAACCTACTGGCCAAAAAACGCAAGGGTCACTGCCGAGAAGTGCCAGAAAAGTGATTTCATTGCGAAAAAACGTAAAATTGTTGAGAAAATCCGGATTCTTTTTGGGGCGAAAACGACATTTTGAGTGCGCGGCGATTACATGTCGTAATGCGTTGTAAGGCACCCAATCTCTCGATCTCGGTGATTCTCTGGTCAATTTTCATAAATTAAAAGTCTAAAATGATCAAAATTTGGTGAAGATTCCAAAAATAGCATCAGAATTTTTAAATTCTAGCATTTTCGCGTCCAAACAGGGGCAAAAGACCATGCGGCGCGGTCGCGTTGCGGTCGCATCTGGCTATTTGCCAGAAATCACAGCAGGGGGCCGTGGACCAGATTTCGGAGCCCCTTTAACAAAGCCCAATCAGGGTGTAACGAAATCAGAAATGTACGAAATCTTTTCCCCTTCGCCTACAGCAAAAAAAAAAATCGGGGCTTGCTGCGCCAATGTTACAGAATCTAGGTATTTTCGAAATTTAGCTAGTTTCAGGAAAATCAATTTTAGGAAAAATTAGTCTAGAAAAATGAATTTAGGAAAAACTAGTAATTAAAAATTATACGACAAGCAATTGACGATACCGTAATTCCCAGAGCGACGCCTTCGACGATCGAGTGAAATGAGAGGGCCGCGACGAGGGTGATCGAGCGGACGCCGTGCGAGTGAGCGTGAGGCTTCGACGCCATCAGAATTGGCGGGTCTTCTTGAACTGAAAAGGATTTGATAGGCTGAAAATCAGCAAAAAAAAACTAAAAATTACAGTACAACTAGCAATAAAATCAAATTAAAATTTACCCTGATCGCAGTTGGTCTCGCATCGCTCCGGCTCGGCCAACACGACAGCACCGCACAGGCTGAAAAAGTAATTTAAAAAAGCAAAGATATTACGAAACAAAGCCCACAAGGGATACTTTAAGACAGGAAAGACACAGAAGTAAGGCGGGCTGAGAAGCAGCGTCGGGAAGTTACCCATAATCGGAAGCAAATCTACGTAGTGGCATCTGTTCGCCGGACCCGAGATATTGGGCTTTGTGGCGACTAGGGTCGTCGACAGAACCATAGTTTCGATATTGTCGTCGGACTAGTGGTCTAGCAAAAACTACTACATCAGTCTCCCTAGTATGACTAATTACGGTGATTCCCTGGTAGCGAGAAAGCGAGCTCAATTTTTTTAACTTAGCCGCTATTTGCCTAGTAGTAAAATAAAAATATTTTATAGCGCTTTAGTAGTTCCCGATTAATGTAATATAAAGATAGAAACCTTTTTAAAACACCAAAAATGATCACTGACCAGTCTTTTGACTAGTTTATTAATTATAAATTTTGGCCAAAAAGTCAGCCGTCTTGAATGCTTGTCAATTTTATTAAATGTCATATTAAAAAGCCCGGTGAAAATCAAAAGTAAAAATTTCAATTCTTGTTTCTTTTTTGCCAAAATCTTGTTCAAGTGCAAGGTGCCCACTAAAAAGACGATCAAAAAATTTAACTTGAATTACCAAGCAACATCAACTAAATAAAAAAAATCGATTCGCTATCCCGCTTCCACGGAGTGTGCCTATTTTTACTATCCCTTTTTTAATTACGCAACAAAAATGAAGACATACTCCGGAGTGATGACTTGACAATTCGGCTTCTCCACAGAGTTCCCCCGTCGATAGACGGCGTG